AGCTTTCTTTCCCTCCCAGTTGCCACTTTTCTTCCCATGGCATCATCATCCTCTCACCCAGTCATGCTTAAAACCCGCGTCACTCGTCACGCCACCTCCCCAGTCGTCCTTCCCCAGCCAAGTCTTGCCAGCATGTGCTGCGCATCTCTTGTGCTCTGTCTTCTCCGTTCTCTCTGCTAAGCCAGGTCTCAGCACCTCGTGTCTTGAATGTGCCATGGCTTCCCCTCGAGTCCTTCTTTCATAGCTGGCCAGACTGATTCTCCTGAGTGACTGTGTCCTGTCTCTCTCCTGCTCAAAGACCATCAGCAGCTCTTCCTCACCACAGATGATGTTCACGCTCCTCAGGCCTAGGCCTAAGAGCCCTAGTTTGATGCCAGCCTGCTTCACTGACATTAGCTCACGTGACTAAAGAGTGTAGGCTCCAAAGCCAATGTCTCTGGGACCAGATCCTGCCCCAAGATCCTAGCTTAGGCAGGGAATGGAAAGCACAGAGAAAGCTGGGAAGGACGAAGGGGAGGCAGCACCACATGTCACTCGGGTTTTGAATGTGGGTGGGTGAGAGGATGATGACGCATGGGGAGAAAAGTGCTGTGTGACGCTGGGCACATACATAACCTCTCTGTGCCTGAGTGTCCTCCTCTTTCACATGAGGACTCTAGTCACTTCTAGGGTTGCCATGAGGAGAAAAGGCACTTAGAACAGTGCTGGATATGTAGTAAACGCTCCAGTGTTAGCTTTTTAGTACAGTGACTATCAGAGAGCAGGTGTCCTGCCCACTGCCCACCTCTCCGCGCACCCGGCCCCCCATCTCTCCACGCACCCAAACCCCCCACCTCTCTGCGCACCCGGCCCCCCACCTCTCCACGCACCCGACCCCCCCACCTCTCCGCGCACCCGGCCCCCCACCTCTCTGCGCACCCGGCCCCTGGGCACTCTGATCCATCGCTTCCCCCTCTGCCGTTGCTCAGCCTGTCCCCTCGGTCTAGAATGCGTCTCTGTGCCTGCTTTCTCTTAGTCATCCTTCATGGGTCAATTACCTCCCATTTCCTTCTGAGAGAAGCCAGCCACAGGCCGGACACGGAAGGCTAATTTTACTTGATACTAAGTAATTTCATTTTTTATGTTAACACAACTACTCTAGACATACCAGGAAGATTGACAGGGAAAACACAAAAAGGACAAAGAATGTTCAGAGTGGCAGTGTCTCAGGCCACCCAGCCCAGTGGGCCTGCATTTGCGCTTCAAGGGAAGGCCTGAGAAGCCCGGCCATGGGGAGCAGGGGCCTGCATGGGAGGGAAGCTGGGGGTAGTGCCAGCCCTGGCGCCAGCCCCGTGGCTGCTGGGAGGGTCCCTTTCCCCGCCCTGCTCTCCTTCTGAGGCCTCAGACAGCTCTGTGTCCGCCACTCTGAGGTTGCCCCTCATAGGTTCCAGGTCCAGATGCCATCGAGTTGACTTCAACCCGTGACCACCCCTGACCAACAGAACAGAACTGGGCTCCGTAGGGTTTTTGATGGTTGAGTTTTTGGAATTCGATCCCCAGGCCTTTCTTCAGAGGTCCCTCTGGGTAAACTCGAACTGCCAGCCTTTCGTGCAGCAACCAAGCAGGTTAACCATTTCCCCACCCAGGGACTCCTCTCTTGCAAGTAGCGTTTGTGTTACCTTATCGTTTAATTTCCCAGATATTAGGGCTTATCACTTCAATAAAATCATATGTACCTGGAGCACGGGGTGGGGGGGAAAGCTATAGGACAGTGGAGGACAGACAAGGTTTGAATTCAGGCCCTGCTGTTCACTAATCCAGCGTCACTTCACCTCTCCGCTCCAAACTATGGATAATACTTCCCTGATAAGATCCGTGCAGCAGTCAGCCCAGCAGTTGGCATCCATAGCACTCAGTAAACCAGGGGCTCCTCCCTGGCAGTCCCAGGGACTCAGGAAACGTGACTCGCAAGTGTCCTACCTCCAAAGATCTCCTCAACCTGCACCTACTCCCGTGTGCTCTGCCTGCCTTCCTCTCCCAGGGAATGTGGGGGACACCCTCCTCCCTGTGAGAAGTTCCTGTCCCTTCTCACCTTCTCAGGGACCTCACTCACACGGTCGCCTCCACATTCTCCTGTATTGTCAGTTCCCTCCCAACCGGACCTTTCTCATCTCATAATTGTGCTGTAATATTGCTCCACCTAAAACAAGCAAGCAGCCTTCCTCAATCTCACCTCCCCTCTAGTTACCACTCCATTTCTCTGCTTGCTTCACAGCACAAGAGTCCCTGAGAAAAGTGGCATACTCGCTGCACCCACTTGTATTGCCCTTCCTACTTGAGCCCTCTCCAGGCAGGCTTTGACCCCGTGCCACTCCACTGAAACGCTGCCAGTGAATTCCCCATGGCCAAGTTCAGTGTGCTGTCCGCTTACTATCAGCCAGCCGCTCAGCAGCACCTGACACCATCAGTGAGTCCTGGCTCCTCGAGGCGTCTTCTCTGCGTGTCCCCCAGAACCACAGGCTCCTGCTTTGCCTTCAGTCCTGCCTGGCTACTCTCCTGTCTCCTTTGTTGGACCACGCTCTCTCCCTTCTCCCTCACTTCTAAGAGCCAAGGGCGCCAGGCTGTCCTCACACTCCTCTGCCTCTATTCACCCCTAGGTCACCTGCATTCTTCTGGCCTTAAATGCCATCTAAAAGACGCCCACGTGTATGTCTTAAGGTCGGACCTCTCCCCGCATTCCAGGCTCTTTGGTCCACCTCCTGCTCCCATTTCCCCCTTGATGTGTCATAGACACTTCAAACTCTGACGTGGCTGAAACGGAACCCTCAGGTCCCACCCCACCCTTCCCACGAGCTTTCTCATCTCAGCAGTGGGAACTCTCTATCCTTCTAGCTGCTTAAGCCAAAACTTTGGGAGTTATCCTTGGCTTTTCTCTCTCTGTAACCTCATAGCTCACTGATACCACCTTCAAAACAGAGCAGGCGGCCACTTCTTACCACCCTCACCCACCGTGGTCCAAACCACGAGGATGACTCCAGTAGCTTCCTGAGTGGGTTACTGCCCTGGTCTTTGGCACTCCCACAGCCTGTTCTCCACCAACAGAGTAATGTTTTCAAAGTTTGATTATGTCATTCTTTGGCTTAAAACTCTCGTCTCTTCCCCCCTCACTCAGAATAAAATCCAAATTTCTTATCATGGCCTCCAAGGCCCTGTGGGAGCAACCCTGCTACCTCTCTGGCCGCATTTCCCACCACACTCTGCTTGCTCACTCGGCCCATCTGTGAGCAGGCCTTTTCGTACTTGGTCTTCCTTCTGCCTGGAATGCCCAGTAGGTGAGGCACCCTCCCTCACTTCTTTCAGGTCTCTGCTCAAACACCACCTTACCAGAGACCATCCCTACCTCAAGGGAACCCTGGCACCGTCTGTCCCGAGCTCTTATGTTTACCGCTAACCCCTACTTGACATACCTATTGATCATTTTTGTCTACCCCTCACCACTAGTAAAGACAAAAGAGGACCTTTGGTGCCTAGCACATAGTAGATGCTCAGTAGATGGGCAAAGGGCGTGGGATGGAACCTGACTGGTGTGTACCCTGGTTTCTGCCTTGCTCCTTCCCTCCTGTGTGATGTTGGCCTGCCCTGAACCTTTCTGAGCTTCAGTTTCCCTCTGTGAACTCTACCGTGAAGGTTTCTTTGGAGGACGGTGATAATACACTTAAAGTACCCAAGACACAGTACTCAGTGAAACGGAGGCTGAAAAGGCCACTTAGCTTCTCTGTAGGCCTGCTTCCAAGTAGTTCATCTCCTCCTTTGTCTGCCCCAGGATGGAGTGCTGAGGTACCAATGAAGGAAGAGTTGTGGAAAGGGATGTTTATTCATTCTCCTTGCCAGACCCCGTCCTGGGCCCCCTAAGCATTGTTTCTGGCTCTAGCCAGTTCCCTGCCACAGCCCCTCAGATGGTGGCCACCTCTGAGCTGGTTCTGCAGGTTGAGACCCTCCCCTAACCCTGCTTTGGATCTAGACAGTCCCTGATGTGGAAGCAGAGATGCTTGCTGGGAATATGGAAGTCTGTCTGGACTTCTGAGCCACGAGTCCCGTGGATCCTTCTTTGGCAAAGAAGCCATCTCTGGGGTGGGTGACGATGGGTAGAGCTCAACTCAGAAAACTCACTGCCAGTCAAGTAGATTCCGACTCATAGTGATCCCTCCTTGGGTTTCTGAGGCAGTATCTCTTCGGAAGTAGATTGCCCAATGTTCCTTCCAAGGGGTGGCTGCTGGAACTGGTGAATTTGAACCACCAGCCTTCTGGTTAGCAGTCCAATGCTTTAGGCACTATGCCACCAGAGCTAGTGGTCACTTACCATGTTTCCCTTGGCTCGTCAATGAAATGACTGAAGTGGTTTCCCTGTGCACCACCAGGGGGAGCCAGAGGCTGGTCAGCTCTGGGCAGGACCTTCTCTCCTGAGGCAGGCACTCCTCCCTCCCTCTCAAGCCTGGGACTTAGGTGGCAAAGAGGTGCCTGCACCCAGGACACTTGTGGAAAAAGAGGTGGCCTGGTACTGACTTGCTCCCACCTACCACTTGGAACTGCCAGCCAAAGCAGGGACCGGAGGTCAGGATTCCAGATTCTTTATTGGCAAGCATTGTGAGCCCTTTGCCCTTTAAGTTCAGCCAGTCTCTGCCCTCAGATGCCACTGTGAGTCTGCCCTCAGATGCCTCGGCCGCTGAGTCTGGTTCTGCCACAGTGGGAACCCCAGTGTTTAGGGAGACACGTGGCAGGCTCAGCAGAGTTCTGACCAGGTCTGGACCTCACAGACCACTCTTCATCTAGGGGCTCCCGGAGCCTGCCAGTCAGGTGGTGGGCGGGGCGGCAGAGACATCTCAGCCTTCCCTGTGAGATGCTTTCCTGCCGCAAGTCCCTCCACAGCCGAGCTGAGCTGAGGGCAGCAACTGGCTCTTCGTCTGTCCTGAAGGTCTTGATGGTGGCAGGACTGCCAAAGGCAGGAGGTCCGAGGCGGTGTCTCAAAGGGGATAGAGATGCCACAGGCTGTGGAAAGCGGGTGGAGGGGGAGAAGCCAGAGAGAGTCACCTGAGTCCCTGGTGATCTGAGCTTACCCGCCCCAACCTCCGGCCACCGGCCACCGGCCGCCGTCCTTGGCCAGCCTCTCAGTCCTCAGATAGCCCCTTGGGCCCTGCAGGCACCCTTTTCCCTCCATCAGCTTGAAGACATAGAATGGTTAAAGCAGCCTTCTGCCGCTGTGCGGGTCCCTAGGGGCGCCCTCCTGCCTGCTCAGCAAGGACTGGAGGGGGTGTGTCCTGGCTCTAGCTAACGGTAACCTGCATCGCCTTCTCCCAGAGGCCAGGCAGCCTCCCCAGGCCAACAGGGCGGTGGGCCCGGAGAGGGTCCTGGCTCCCTTAGATGCCCCCCCACACCCCCGTAGCACCTATCCGACCTGCACTGGAAGCGGGGGTCTCCGGGGTGGGTCTTGAGCACCTGGTGCACCTCTGCGGGAGGGTCCAAGCCCATCTGTTCCGCCCGATGCCAGCGCTGCAGCCGTGTGATCCCTGCCAGTGGGAAGAAGACATTGGGGACGTGTGGAGGTCCGGAGGCCGTGTGGGTCCCGTTTCCAGCCCGGTCCCAGGAGGCCTGGGGACAAGGGTGCTCACCTGTGCAGGGCCCGTACTGCCAGGCCAGGTCAAACTGCCTCAGCAACTCCAGCTCCACTTCTTCCACATCCCCGCCGGGGGACTGGGGCGCCTCCCCTGCAAGCCAAGCTCCCCTCAGGCCGGCCGCCCGTGCCTCGCAGCCCTGTCCACCCCTTTGCCCCCGCCATCCTGCAGCCGGACCCGCTCCCTCCCATCCCCCTCCTTTGCCCACAGCATCCCCTCCTCCGGCTGCCCCACACCTCAGAGACCTGGCTCGGCTGCCAGCTCCCCCTTGCTGTGCCCGGCAGGCCCCTCCCGCCTCTTCACTGCGGGGTAGGAGTCAGTGATGAGCCGCTTCCGGCCCATGGCGACCACCCAGGCAGGCAGAGAAGGAGGCGACTGCGGGGAAGGGGCGAGAGAGACAGCTGCTGAGAGGGAGAAGGGGCCAGCGACGGGCAGCCACGGTGACCCAGACGAGCGGAGAGAGGAAGTCCGGCAAGTTCCAGGGATGACGCCGCTCCCCACCCCCACGGGCACGCAAACAGGAAAGGCCTGAGCCAATGGCAGGCCACCTCTCCGAGGCGGAGCCCCGTTCCAGCCAATTGCAGGCGACGTGAGGGAGGCGGCTGGTGGGCTGGGCCGAGGGACCTGTCAAGATGCCCCAGACTTCCCCACCTCTGCCTGCCCCCCTCGGTCAGAGGCGAGGTCTCCAGGGACTCGCAGAGCGTTATCCTCGGCCTCTCACTTCCGTCTGCCCCTCCTAGGCAAATGTTCTTTTCAGCCTCACTAATCCCCGTGGCCGTTTTATAACTCCCCAGAGCCCCACTGGAGCCTTCCGCTGGCCTCTTGGCCCAGGCTCATTGTGGGGCAGGTCTGGAGGTCCAAGTAGTCTACTCCAGCCCAGCCCCTTTCCTGCTCCCACCCCACCCCCACGGACCCAGGAGACCTGGCTGGACAAGCCCGTGGGTTCGGAGAGCTCCTTTCTCAGGCTTCGCCCAGAGACTGGCCCTTAGCAGTACAAGCCAGCGGCTGCCTTATCAGCTCTCCCGGGCCCTGCTAGTCCAGAAGATGCCACACTGCGCAGGAGGCAGAGTTGAGACGCTAGTCCCCTCTTTACTGGCCTGGACGCCCAGGTCTTCATCAGCGAAAGCTGCTGTCTCTTTCACAGTCCTGTAGGAATGAGCAGAAAATACAACACTCCTAATGCTTACAAATGGAGTTCTGGTAGCATAGTGCCTAAGGCAATTTGACTGCTAACCAGAAGGCTGGCGGTTCAAACCCACCAGCCACTCCTCCGAAGGAAGGTTGGGCAATCTACTTCCGTGATACTGCTTCGCCAACCCAAGGAGGGGTGTCTGTGAGTCGGAGCCAACTCAACGGCACACAACAACAACAAATGGTTACAAAGCACTCACTGCATACCAAGCCCTGTGCCAAACGCTTCCCCACGTGTTAATTAAATAGATGTACAAAAGTGTTTGGAAGTAGGAAGTGTGGGTACTTTATGATCACTACTGAGAACCCCCGGGAGCTCTGGTAGCATAGTGGCTAAGGCACTTGACTGCTAACCAGAAGGCTGACGGTTCAAACCCACCAGCCACTCCTCCGAAGGAAGATGAGGCAATCTACTTCTGTAGTGATTGTTGTTGTTGTTGTTGTTAGGTGGCATGGAGTCGTTTCCAACTCACAGCGACCCCATGCACAGCAAAACAAAACACTGCCCCATCCCACACCAGCTCCATGATCCCTGCTACAGTTGAGTCCATCATCGCAGCCACCGTGTCAATCCATCTGGTTGAAGGCCTTCCCCTCTTTCGTCGACCCTCCACCCTACCAAGCATGACATCCTTCTCCAGGGAACGGTCCCTTCTTACAACATGGTCCGTAGTGATACTGTCTCGGAAACCCAAGGAGAGGTCACTATGAGTCGGGTCCGACTCAACAGCATATAACAACAACAACACTGAGAACCCCTGCGCTGTGGGCCTCCCCGCCTCCAAGAGCCCACAGGCTAGCAGGGCAAGCACGCCGGGATAGAGCTCCTAACAGACAAGAGGGGAAATGAGGGGCAGGCACTGTAGGACCTAGGGCTGGGCCACTATTGGAAGACCTCCTGGGGGAGCTGGGCTGCGTAAACAGTATCTCCCAATTCTCCACCCATGACCTTTGTCTCTCCTGTCATCGCTGACTCACCCCTACTGCCGCCTCCCCCTCACTGATTTCCTGGCAGCAGGCGAAAGTGCTGGCCAGTGGGAGTCTGGGAATCTGCAGCAGGCCCAGCACAGCTCTGATGACCCCAGGGGTGTCCCGGCTCTTCGTCCACAGGGTGCGGGGCTGGAGGGCAAGGCCAGCTCCTAGGGCTCTGCCTTCTGCTTTCTCAGGCTCCGGGGTCTGGGCGCACTGTGTTAGGGGGAGAGCTGGGTCCCAGGGGCATGTGGCCAGTGGTCGTCATAGGAGCAAGGGATGGGGAGTGACAGGCCAGCCTTCAGTGGCTTCCCTAAGGGGGCTGGAGCGGGGACTGAGCACTGTGGGTGCACTGCTCTTGGCTGGAGGCCCTTCTTTGCTTTGTTGTCTGGGCTGGGCCATCTAATCTCCTCATCTACCTCGTGGACTAAGTGGGGCCCACATCCAGGGAGGCAGGGGCCCTGCCGAGATGGGGGAGCGCAGGGAGGCCCTCTCCACGGGGATGGGAAGGGCTCAGGTGCTGAGTCCATCCAGGCACTGAGCACTCTGTGGGGAGATGGGGCCAGGCTCGGGGGACTGCCACCCCTCCCTGGGGCCTCAGCAGGGACCTCCTAGACAGCTCCCAGAGGTGCCAGCTGCTGCCACCACCCACCTCCTGAGACCACAAAGCCCTGAGGGAGTGGGGAGCCCTGGGTGGGGCAGACCCCTCCTCATTCCTGATCCCTCCCGTCCCCTGAAAGTTGATAGCCGTGGGGCCCTGCCACCGCCCAGAGAGCGTGAAATGGGGAGTGCCGCTGGGCAGCCACAGTGGCTCCTCCTGCTGCCTGGGTCGCTGCCCTGCTCTGTCTGTAGCCTCGGGCTCCTGGCCTACTCTCTGGGCGCTGTCTGGGCTGAACCCACCAGTGGCCCCCACTGGCCCTGCTGGCCTGGCCCATCCAACCAGAAGATGTCCCCCTTGGGCTTCAGCTCCCCCAACCCCAAGAACAAGAACCAGAGTGGTCAGCTTGAGCCCAGGCCCCTGAGGCCTGGCGTTGTGGCCTAGAGTGAGAGAACTCTCCGTCAGCAGTGTAGGCCTCTCCTCCCAAACAGATGGTGGGACGAGCCCCAAGGGAAAGAGCACCCACTACAGAGCCGCGCATGTCCTTTGGCCTGGCTCCCCAACTCAACATCTGGACCCCAAGGTGCACTGGCAACTAGACCAGACCTCACCTGCCACTCCCAGGCGTTTCCTCCTGTCACCCACCTGCCTGAACCCCTGCCCTACCCAGACAGCCTCCTAAGCCACCCCCCAAACTGCTGTTCTGGGGCCTGTCCCAGTGGAGCCTTTAGGCTAGAGGGCCAGCTGAGGTCTGAGTTGTGAGGGACTAAGATCTCTCTTTTGGGGAATGTCCTGAGACCCAGACCCTTGAGTCACCCTGACACCCAGAGTCAGATGATGGGACTGGCAGGAGTGCTGGAAACCCCTAGGGCTGGCCCTTGTTTTCTTGGGGGACCCAGTACCTTCCTGAGGGCTGAGCCCCATGGCTGACTGTTCTGAGGGGACGAGGATTAGGCCTGGCTTACTTCAGATAATGTGGCAGGACAGGTTGGGGGTGGGGGCTCGGCGCTGCGCCTGCACAGCCTCTGAGCCCCCTCCCCACCCCAGCTCTCTGTGGGGCTTATAGGGAGCGGCAGGTAGGGCTGGGAAGGTAGGGGCAGGTGTGGAAGGGAGGCAGTTGCCTGGGGCCCAGAGACTATGGGGTGTGTCCTTTTCTCCTCCTTGTATATCAGCACCCCCACTCAGGCCCTCAGGCCCTGCCACCCACCTGAGCTGGAAACCAGGCCAACTCAGGGGATTCTGGGCAGTCAGACTGACACTCCAGCCCCTAACACACTCACACGCCCTAGGCCCCTTCCTCGCCCTACGGACCGACACTCTTCCAGGCTTCCCTTGTCCCTCACTGTGCTCCCAGGTACCCGTCATCTGAGTTCTCTCGTGGGCTTACGCTCTGGATCAAGCCTGCTCCAGGGAAAGCTTCCTTAGGGTCTCTTGCCTCTGCTGCCACCAGCTGTCTCCTCTGTTCTGTTCCAGCCACCACTCCCCACACCTCCAGTCCCCTCCTGGTTCACCTGGACCGTCTGGACAAGGCCTCGAAGATTCAAGAAGGGGTCCTTCTGGCCATTCCTCACCTTGGCCACCAGGTGTCAGACTTTGTCCAACTGGAAGGAAGGCCCTCCTTAACCATTTCTACTCCAGCAGCCAGGCCCTGGAGGTAGAGCAAGTTGGGGAGGAGCCTAGGGGTGACCTCTAACCTAGCAAGGCTGAGGGACCAACCAGCCGACTGACCGTTGTGACTGGGAAAGGGCTGGACATAAAGCTTTCTCCTAGCCACCCCCACCCCACTGAAAGGGCTTTGTCCACTGCTGGGAAATTGGGGAACTGGGCTGAGTCAGGGAGCTCAAGGACTAGAGGGACAAAGGCAGAGACAGTTGTGGCTCCAGAGAAGAAGGGGGGCTGAGGGAGCCACTCATCAGAATGCTTGGAGGGCCTGAACCTCTGGCCCCTCCCTGCCCACTGGGTTACGGGCAACAGAGGCCCTGCTTCGCTCTTCCCCGTTTGGAGTGGATGAGTGTGTGTGTGAAGTGAGTGTTTGGATGAGTCCCTTCACATGCCAAGCAGCCCCTTGACCTCTGGGTGTTGGGCCAGTCTTTGCAGAAGGGCAAAGCTGACCTCGTGTCCACTGCCATCAGCACCTTCTCCAGATCCACTCCCACCCCACTGGAGTCACCACCCTCGAGGACTGACCCCCATCCTGTCCATCCTCGCAAGCACAGGTGCGTCTCCAGGTATCCTCAGTGATAGTGGCACTCTAATCTCCAGTGCACGTCATCTAGAGAGGACAGCGGGGGGTCTCTCCTTCATGCCCATTCTCCCAAGACTTCCTTGGAGCATAACGTCTAGAGGTAATATCCCTCAGGACTCTGCAGGACACCAGGTTCTTAGGATACCTGGGCCCCTGACTGTAACCAAAGAAAGCTTGCCTGGCCCCTCACCCCATCTCCTGAGGCGACTGTGGGTGAAGAGCCAGCCACAAACTCACTCCTAGAAAAGACTAATGATCCAGCCCTGTGCCACAGAGCTGGCATCCTCACAGGAGGCACAAAGGACACGGTGCCAAGGCCCAAAGGGGGCTTTGTACCCACCACCTCATTAGGGAGCTCTCTAGAGGAGAGTTCAAGAACGAAGCTCATATCCTCTAGTTGTGGGTGCTCTCCTCTGCAGGCTACCTCTCTTGTCACCTTCTCCATCCCCCTGGAGAATGCAATCTGGTCTTTGGCCCTTCCCTTCCTCAGTTTGCCTTCACTGCTACCCTGCCTGCACTCTGGCTCACAGCTAGCCACCCAGCAGTCTGGTCACTAGCCCCCTAGAACCCCTGGACCCTGTGGTTCTCTGCCCTTCCTGCCCTGAGTCTTCAGGTCTTGCGTGATGTCCTCTCTCCACCTGTCCCCCCTCTGCTGCTGAAGAATGTCACACTCATATGGACTGGCAGTCCTGGTAGTGTCCTTATTCTTGTCCCCAAGCCTCTCCATTCTCCCAGCCACCACCCTGCACTCAGCAGATGATGTGTTTAGATCTCATCTGTTTAAAAACAACACGAAACCCAAGAGACAAGGTTGTGGTCACTTCTTGGTCACAGCCAGCTACCCAGAGAGACCGAATAGTTGAACCTGTGGGCTCAGGACCATAGTCACAGGGGACATCAAGCTCAATTGACATGACGTACTACACAGAACATTGTTCCACCTCCTACTTTGGCAAGTGACGACTGGGATCTTAAGGGCTTGCAAACAGCCATCTAGATGCAGTGATGGGTCTCTCCTCGTCCAGAGCAAAGAGGATTGAAGAAAACCAAAGATTCATGGAAAGAATTAGTCCTCGTGACTGGTACACCATATGATCCGCAGCCTATATGCTGGTCTTTGCTTCCCAAGTGGATGAGACCAGAAGAACTAGATGGTGCCCAGCTACCACTGTCAACCATTTGGTGTGTGGGGGTTCTACATAGGAGATTCTGGATAGAGAGGGAGAAGAATCATTTGTGGGGAAAGAAAAGGGAGACCAGGTTTGCTGGTCTGATAGAGCCTGGTGGAACCACTGAGACTATGGCCCCTAGCTGCCCTTCAGGTCTGGAACTGAACCCACACCTGTGGCTTCCAGCCAAACAAAAGACAGGCATAAGAGTTGAACATTTACCTGAGGTAGATACACTCCTTGGAG